ACAAAACCAAATTTATGTGTGGCTCAAACCAAATTTTCATCTTCTAATGTGGCCCAGGGAAGGTGAAAGGTTGGAAACCCCTGCTGTAGACAATAGCCATGGGTATTAAGCTGGGAGGAAGGCAGGGTCTCTCTGAATCAATTAATCAAACGAATAAGCAAATCTTTGTAAGATTTTTCTGGAACCTGACATGAACTGCAATTTTGTAGGCGTGGTGAAAGAATCACACTGTCAGTTTAGGTCTGGGCAAGCTTTGGGTTTCTGAGCATGACTTTATTTTTTACTAGCTGAGGCAGCAAACCTTTGGTACCCCAAATGTTTTGGAGCATGACTTCCCCCCCACACACACACACACAATCTTTTATCATTGTCAGTACAGCCTGGTGATCCTGAGAATTATAGTCCAAAACTTCTGGAACGGAAAAGGTTCGCCCCACCTGCATCAAAGCTGAAAATAATTTGAAGGCAGGGGAGTAGGGGAGTTAATGATTTTATGCCCCCTGTGATTTACCATGAGCTATTAAAATTTATATATAATTTACTATATGTCTGGATTCCAAAATGAAAATCTCTTAAGTGGTCAGTAGCTGGCTGGAGAGCTCAGTGGTTTAGGTCTCTGGCTGTGGAGCAGAGGTGGGGAGTTTGATTCCCCCGCTGGGCCTCCAGGGAGTAGAGCCAGCCTGTATGGCCTTAGGCAAGCTCTGCAATCCTAGGGCACCCCCAGAACAAGGGATCGGCAAATCACTTCCAAGGACTCTACATGGAAAACCCAGAAAAGGGTCACCCTAAGTCAGAATTGGCTTGATAGCCCATGATGATGATGATGATTAAGTGGCCGGTGCTAGTATGTTAAAACCTGGACAATGGAAGCCAATATAGTGGAAGAATGCTGACAATAAGTTGGAAGTAATCAACATAATTTTAACCATGACAGAGATATTTACTGTTTTGTGTGTGTGTGTGTTTTACTAACTCTCACTGAAGTATTCACACAAACATTAAATTTTTTTATTCACTATCCATGGCAACTCTGCAAGTCTCTAGTTAAAATTTGCAGAAGAGTATTGATTGTTGCAAGAGCAGCGAAAAGTTTTGTCACCTATTACAGCCTAAGAAGTTTTAGTTTGTGCATCTAATGAAGTAGGCTCATGTCCACCTAAACTGAAACTGTAGCTAAAGAACACCTGCTCTCAGGGCTGGGGAAAAATCTCTGTGCTTTGCAGATCTTCTTTTGGCCTACAGTTGCCATCAGTCTTAGCCACTGTAGCAAACTGTGAGGGATTATGGGTTGATGTTCAAAAACATCCTGAAGGTACAGTTGCCCACTCCTGGTGTATATAACACAGTGTTGGATGGATAGATGTCTAGCCTGTGTCAGTGACAGGCATTTCCATGTGTTCCTGCATTCAGGTCCGTTTCTTGGAACAACAAAACAAGGTTCTGGAGACCAAATGGACCCTCTTGCAAGATCAAGGCTTGAAATCTGGTGCAAACAAAAGCACCCTTGATCCACTATTTGAGGCCTATATCAACAACCTAAGGAAGCAGCTGAGTGGCTTGATCAATGAGAAAGGGCGACTAGATGGAGAGCTGAAAAGCATGCAGGATCTGGTTGAAGACTTTAAGACCAAGTAAGTGAATGTATCACTGGAAGGAGCCAGAAAACTATCTCGGTCACACTAGAACAGTGTTTCCCAGCCTTCAGTTATCCAGGTGTTCTTGGACTGCAATTCCAAGGAGCCTTCACCACTTGCTGTGCTGGCCAGGATTTCTAGGAGTTACAGTCCAAGAACACTTGGGTTACCCAAGGATTGGAAACACTTTGGACGATACGTTTAGCATGCACTGAGAAGTGGGCCTCTCACAACTGAGGAAAATGCTCATTCATCATAGCATGTGCTTTTCCTTACCTCTGTATCATGTGTTTTATGTACTTTGATCGTATGGGTCCTTGGAAGGCAAATGTAGGCTTAATTGTAAGTTGTGATTGCCAAGACATGCATTTTTGAGGAAACTCCATTGCCCCTCCTACCCCAGAATAAAGAAGCAAGACACAGGTGCTGGAATTAATTAGGGCCACACTGTATTGAACAGGTAACGTTAACTCTTGTTGCTTCCCAACGGGGGGGCGGGGGAGGCTGTGGTAGTGTGGAATCTGGTATGAGGAGGACAAATGCAGCTATATACTGCGCTCCCTAGCCCAGCCTCTGGGATGATAGATAGCTGGAGGGATTCATGTCTTGCCTCATCCGGGGGGGGGGGGGGGGGGGGAAGAAGAGCCGCGTTTTTTCCAGCGGAGCAACCATAATCACAGTAAAATATGTTAATGGTAGAGAATACACATTTCTCCTTAATTTCTAGTTTCAGCCTGTGTTATCTCAGGACAAAGGTTAGTAAAGAAAGTAATAGAATAGTGTTAATGCTGATTTTAAAATGTTCCAGCTGGTATAATTGGGACATCTGTTTACCAATGTGGGTGATTGAATGGGCTCATATATTCTATTTGTCAAATACCTGTACACAGTGGAACCCTATATATACAACTATTGTGGCAAAAAAGATGTGAGGGGTTTTTTTGCATCTTTTTTTGCTTACATTGCACAGTTTTTCATACATTGAGGACACCTAGACAACATTTGATTAACTCTCAGTAGAAATTAAATAATTCCTGTTTTTCTATTTGTTGCTGGAGTGATATTTAACTTACAGGAAAAAATAAATAGAATATGTTTCTGCTGGTTGGGAGTGCAGAGTTGTTCAAAACAAGTTGTGTTACCAAGACATTTCTTGAGTATCTCTGAGCTATGAAATTAAAATCTTTTCCCAGTCCTGCCCCGCCTGCATGGACGCGATGAGAAACAATAAACCTGAATGCCACATTGACATAATACCCAAGTATGCTGGTAAAATACTTTAAAGACACAATTATTATTAATTTAATATAATACTGGGGAGCAGTGGAAATTGGTTTCTGACTCAATTCTGAATCATTCAACCACTCATTTTTGCTGTGGTGAAATTAAAAAAATAATTGCTTTTCTAGCAATTTTTGACATGTTGAACGAGTTTTGTGAATGCTTCAAGAAATGTTCAGGCTGCATCCTTTAAATGTGAGTCAATGGTGACTCACAATCTGGACATGTTGCATCAAAACCTGGTTCAAATGAACTTATTCTCTTAATGACTGTACAGTCAAAAATGAATAGGAAGATTTTAATGCAAAACATCCCTCTGATAATAAAATTAAAAAGTAAACATGGGACTTTGTAAATGACCATCTTTTATCTAAATGGAAATAATTAATGGTATTCATTTTATAAGGCATTTCATCTGCTAAAACAAAGTGCTAGTCCAGTTTGTAGGCCAAGGCCATGCAAATTATTTTACAGGCTGAAGTAAAGGGGAAGATAGCAACGCCTTCCCGGTCCATGTACAGAATTTGATTTAACAGACACTAAATTTTCCTTCAGCTTTGGCAATGCAACAGTCTTCTGTCACACATCTGAGGGTAGCAAGCAGGTTTATGGGATGCAGGAAGATCTGTCTGGCACACATATCTCAGTCATCAGCAGAAGGGACCACAGCATTTATGTGGTCCCTTCTGCTGAAGACTGAGATATGTGCAGCCAGGAGGCTGCCATTGCTACCTCTTACCATCTGAGGCAGCCCCCCCCCCATTCTACCTAATGGTAGGGCCATCCGTGGTGAAGCCTGTTTATTTCCTACCATGACAGCCTCTCCATAGTGTAGTTCCAATGCAATGGTTTGCAATGAGAACCAGTCAAGAGGTTGTCTAGGTGACACTGCAAACAGTTCTTGGGAGGAGATGAGAGAAATCAAAATGGGGAAATCCCAGGATAGTCTCGTTGAGTCACCGGCTTGCCACATAGCCTCCTATTAAAAGGCAGGCTGCCACTTTCAACGGTCCTTCCATGAGCTTTCTCAGATTGTAGCCAGATAGAGTGCATCTACCCACACCTACTGCCACCTTGCTTACATTGCTGTGATTGCCTCTATCTGGGCAGCCATTTTGCTGGACTTTGAGCAGCAGTCCCCTTAAACTTCAGAAGTATTCAAACAGGGGCTGCCAAAAGAGTGATCTGAGCCATGGAGAAATTTAATTTAAAAGCAAATTATATTATATATATACAACCAAGAGTTCAGTTTTCAGCAATACCTTTGTATCTATTACCTGGAACCTTGAATTGGGAAGAGATATAAAGGCCATTGAAAAGATTACTACACCTCATCCCACCAACCATCTGTTTCCCCACAGACAGGCCTAGATTTTTGTTAGAAAGAATGAAAGCTAAACATTTAGGGGGAAAGCTTATAATAGTTCTAAATAATCCAAGTACCCATCACTCCCTTCTCATATGCCACAGCGGCACTGCCTTCCTCTACCTCCCTTGTTGCAACATGGTCTCTCTTTGCAACAACCTCTAGTTTTTTTGGTTGTCCTCCCCACCTTTGAGAGGAGGAAAGGGAGAACCATGACGTTGCCCCCCTCCGTGAGTACTGTGAGCCAAGCTAGGCCTCAGAGAAACAGTGAATCCTGCTTCGAAGGATTTTAATGTCTGGTAGACCCAACAACTACACTTTGCCCTCCCACCCCAGAATAATGAGGCGAGACTCAAGGATGGTATGAAAACAGGGCCACACTTTATTAACCATATTCTTTTCAATTCTCAGGCCCTTCCAATAAGCAAATGGGGCCTGTGGCAGTGCGGAATGATCTGGAAGGAAAGGTCTCACAGGACCCCTTCTTGACAATAGGCGAGTGTCCAGCACCGAGGTAGCACAGCCCCTATGACCACATGTCCCCGGCCAGTCATGGTTTGACCACCCCTGGGCCTCTAGCCTCCTATCTCTTGGTGGCTTTTAGTCCAGAGGTGTCCCCAGCACATTGTCCCCCCCCAGACCATAATCTCAGGGGTGAATGGAGATCTATTGTCTGGAACCCTGGCCCTTTCCTTATTCCATCCCTCAATCATTTTCTTAATACAATAATCTCCTGTGAAGTAAGGGTATCCTTGGACTTTAGCATAATATGCCAAAGCCGACATCTTACTTTGTATTGTGCTAGGCAATAAGCCTTTCCTATGCAGGTAGATTGCAAATTGCTGCAAATGTTCTACTGGGGCTGGCCATGTAGGCTCTAGACCCATACTAGACCTGAAGTCTCGAAACTCAGTACTCATAGCTGTATACCTCTTATGAGTCCTGGGAGCCAATGGCAGCCCTATTGCATGCTCAGCCTCTTATTCAATCCAATAATGCTCACTTGAAGGACAGATCCTGAAGCTGAGGCTCCAGTACTTTGGCCATCTCATGAGAAGAAAAGAGTCCTTGGAAAAAACCTTGATGTTAGGAAGGTGTGATGGCAAGAGGAGAAGGGG